ACAAATCACGGGACGAGTTAAGAAGTTACATGACGGGTTATATTTCAGAATGAAGTTCTATGGTGGATGAGTTTGAATCAATATTTATAAAATTTTTAAATATCATTAACATGCCGCTTTAATACAGATTAAATCTTCAGTTTATTTAAATATAAATGTCTTAGAGAATGATATGATTTGTAAACTTATATATATAATAAATAATCATTAAATTTTAAAATAAAAACAAATCATAGGACGGGTTAAGAAATTATGGAACGGGTTATATTTCGGAACGGGTTTATATGGCGGACGAATTTGAATCAATATTTATAAATATCATTAACATTCAGTTTATTAACAATTGTCTCGTGGACTCGTGGTATACCGTTATTTAATAACAATTGTAAACTATAATATAAATAAATATTTTATAAGAAGATATAATTTCAAAATATTTTTATACTAACTTTAAAAATAAATCATCCCGCGGTACAAATCTACTTATGCTGGTATATAAATATGTTATATTTGTATAATTAAAATTTAATAAGATCAATTTTATAAATTTTAGTCAGATTTATTTACATTTAATTAATAATTGGTATAGATAGAATTTTTTTTTTTGTCATCCGAAATTAATTAGAGCTCAAAAGATCTATTCCTGTGGAATGTTGTTTACAAATGTGATATGAAGCGATTCTGTACGAATTTTTCGTGCTAGATGAAGCGGTTATATATAGATAGAATTGTTGTAAAGAAAAAAAATCGTACCAATAGAATTAAAAAATAATTGCACTACACGTCTGTTGTAAACTCAAATTAAAAGCGTTGTTAAATAGCTGAAAACCGACGTTAGTAAAGTGAAGTTAAACATGACGTCCGTTATCTATGTGACATTAAAAAAATTACGTAGGGCCATAATTAGAAAAATTGGCTAGAAAGCCACTTTCTCCGAAATAAAAAGCTAGAATGCCACTCTCTATTTTGTAATTTTATTTACCATTTTTCTTAAAATCAAAAGTGATAGAAATGTCCAAAAAACCTTTAAGAAAATTGGAAACTACATATCCAACCAAAATAATCCTACCCAAATCCAATAAAACGGATTATCCATCCTGAACCGCTTTCTCTCGCCACGCTTTTCTCCTCGCGCCTCCATGTTTCCTTGTTTCTCAAACTGTCTGTCTCTTAAGCCTCCGAATCGTCTGCTACATTATCTCCGCCTGAGGAATCAGCAGCTCTTCCTATGACCACAACACCGCCGCCGCCGCTTACATCCGTGAATAAGGAAGAGACTATAACTTCGAGAATCTCTGACGCGACGGCCATTGGTGAACCGATGGCTATCTGAAAAGATAAGAAGTAGGTGGGAGAAGCTGATGAATGCCAGAGCTGTGTACCTCGGTGAGGCGGGGCAAGTGCCTACCAAAGACGACAAAGAGCTTGAACTCGAAATCGTTAGAAACTTGAGGAAGAGATGCGTTGAGAGCGAGCGTCAAATATCTGTAGCACTGGAAGCATTCCCTTTCGATTTGTATTGAGATACACATATGTTATATTTCTATATTGTTGATATGGAAAGATATTCTCTCCTAAGGATTAGGAAGTTAGATGTCTTGGACCTTTCCTGTGAGTCTCATTTTGTTGACAATGTTGATGAAGATTGGATACTTGACATTGTACCTACTAATGGAGAAAGGGGGAGCAATGAACGGAAAGTCGGCCATGTCATACCCAACCTATACAGTAGTGTTCAATTCATACATGAAAGTTTACTATGTGCCAATACATACCCAATCTTTTAAAATTTTCAAATTTCATACCCAAACTTATCAAATTGTGCGAAATCACACATCTCTTGTCTCTGTTGCTGACGTGGATGCCACGTCGTTGAGGACGTTGATGACGTGGTTGCCACATCCTTCATGACGTCGTTGCCACGTCATCATCATATTAAACAAAAATAAAAATTAATTTTTTTTTCTCTTTACATTTTTTTCCATCAATATCATCCAACGAAACTGTGAAAAAAATTATATATTTGATGTAAGAATTTAAAATCTTCTTTTCGAGACTGATAACTAATATTTCAACCAAAACTAATATTTAAACCGAGTTTATAAACTCCAAATTTACAATTCTTCTAAAAATCTTCAAATCACTTTTAGTAGTAAACATAAACCCTTACAATATATCTTCTATAGTAATCAAAAGACATAAGTTGATAACAAAAAAAGAGAACTTAATTACATATATTACTATTAGAATAAATTGTATTTTAAGAACAAAATACAATTTCTCATTACTGGTAAATGGTAATATTGTCTTTGTATCTTAACTTATATATATATATCCAAACAACCCTAATTGACAATGATAATTAATTTATATAAAAAATATTTTGTTCCTAAAAGACAATTATCAAATGACAATAAATGTAAACAATTTCTTCAAAGATTAATATATAAGATTATTGTAGGGTTTATATTTTTCATTGAAAGCAATTTGAAGATTTTTAGAAAAAGAATTGCGAATTTTGAGTTTAGAAACTCGGTTTAAATATTAGTTTCGGTTAAAATATTAGTTATAAGTCTTGTAAAGAAGATTTTAAATTCTTACATTAGATATATAATTTTTTTCACAATTCCGTTGGATGATAGTGATGGACAAATTAAAAAACATGAGAAGAGAAAAAAAATTAATTTTTATTTTTGTTTAAAATGGTGATGACGTGGCAATAACGTCATGAAAGACGTGGCAATCACATCATCAACGTCATCAACGAGGTGGCATCCACGTCAGCAATAAAGACAAAAGTTGTGTGATTTCGCACAATTTGATAAGTTTGAGTATAAAATTTGAAAATTTTAAAAGATTAGGTATGTATTGGCACATAGTAAACTTTCATGTATGAATTGAACACTAATGTATAGGTTGGGTATGAAATAGCCGACTTTCCAGCAATGAACCTATTACTACATTGCCTAGTTATTTGTCCCCGAGTGAGCCGGTGATAGTCAACAATGAGTCTGGTCATGTTGTCACGGATCCTTCTTCTACAGAGAACACGACTACTAGTATTTTTGAAGATTCTCCTAAAGAGGCGACTACTTCTTCTCCCACTCCGGCGTCTCCGGTTGTTGACTCAAATATTGACACGGCTGTGGTGGAGGAAGAATTAGGTCAAGGAAAGCGTTCTAAATTTCCATCCGTCAAGTTGAAAGATTACTATACGTACAGCACTCGTTGTGTAAAAGAAACCCATCACGCTCCTACCGACTTCAACATAGATTCCTCGTCTACGGCCCAAGGTACACACACTCCATACCCTCTCACGAGTTATATCTCTGATGATATATTTTCTCCTGCTCATAGAGTATTCTTAGCCGCTGTCATGGACGGTGTTGAACCTACCTCCTATAAGCAAGCTATTCAAGATCCATGTTGGAATAATGCAATGGGTTCGGAGATTGGAGCTATGGAAGAGAATCACACTTGGAGTATTGTTGATTTACCTCCTGGAAAAGAGGCTATTGACAATAAATGGGTTTACAAAATCAAATATAACGCTGATGGGTCTTTGGAACGTTACAAAGCGCGGTTAGTCGCTTGTGGTAATCGTCAAGTGGAAGGTGAAGATTACAATGAGACGTTTGCTCCCGTAGTCAAGATGACTACTGTTCGTGGTTTGTTGCGTATTGTTGCTGGTAAGGGCTGGGAGGCGCATCAAATGGATGTCCATAATGCATTTTTGCATGGTGATTTAGAAGAAGAAGTTTACATGAAACTGCCCGTTGGTTTTCGTCATACCGCTCCGAATAAAGTTTGTCGCTTACACAAGTCGTTGTATGGCCTTAAACAAGCCCCTCGTTGTTGGTTTGCAAACCTTAGTACGGCTTTAAAGCAGTTTGGTTTTGTTCAGTCCTATGCCGATTATTCACTATTTGCGTACTCCCGCGGTGAAGTTGAGATTCGGGTTCTTATCTATGTTGATGATTTACTCGTGTGTGGGAATCATTCACGTATGATTCAAAGTTTCAAAGACTACTTGGGACGATGTTTTCATATGAAAGATTTGGGTAAGGCGAAATATTTTCTTGGCATTGAAATTGCAAGAAGTGATGAAGGAATATATTTATCTCAGCGAAAATATGTACTTGATATTATCTCCGAGGCGGGTCTTCTCGGGTCTCGACCAGCCAACACACCGATTGAGCAGAACCATAATTTGAGCTTGAACAAGAGTGATTTTCTTCCTAAACCGGAGGTCTATCGGTGACTAGTTGGACGTCTTATTTATCTTCTCACCACCCGACCAGACTTGTGTTATTCTGTTCATCTTCTTTCGCAGTTTATGCAAACACCAAGGGTTGATCATTTAGAGGCTGCTTATCTTGTGGTTCGGTATTTGAAAGGATCTCCTGGTCAAGGAATTTTGTTAAGTTCGGATGTTGATCATTTAGAGGCTGCTTATCGTGTGGTTCGGTATCGTGCAATGCGCCACACATTGTGTGAAGTTCAATGGCTTCGTCAACTTCTCGCGGATTTGGGATCTCCACAAGTCACTTCTACTAGATTGTTTTGTGATAGTCAAGCTGCTATCCACATATCCTCTAACCTAGTGTTCCATGAACGCACTAAACACGTTGAATCAGATTGTCATAAGGTCAGGGACGCCGTTCAAGATGGTACGCTTACAATGGTTCATGTTCGTACGGAGGAACAAATAGCGGATATGCTTACCAAGGCGTTAGGACGAGCTCAGTTTGAGTATTTGTCATCCAAGTTGGGCATTTGTGATCTTCATGCTCCAACGTGAGTGGGAGTATTGAGATACACATATGTTATATTTCTATATTGTTGATATGGAAAGATATTCTCTCCTAAAGATTAGGAAGTTAGATGTCTTGGACCCCAAGTCTCGTTAACCTAGTATCTATTTGTATAAATACTTGATGTAATCATTTGAGATGAATAACACAAACATTCTAAATACCTAGCCGTCTCTAGTTTTAACAATTTGCAGGACCAGCTTAATCAATACATGGATAAGAGGTTTGTCTAGACATTCTTACTGCAAATTTAAGATTGCCTCGTACTTTTCGTGATCGTGAATATTCTTTGGTGGCAGGATAAACGGAGATTTAATCCACCTGATCCAATAGCTAGGATGAAGCTTGAGTTTCTCTTAGGATTCTCTAGTTGTAGTAGATACCCTCCTGGTCGCCAAATTCTGGTTTGCAAGTGATTAAGCCCGTGAGCTACCAAATAAAGCAAGCGTAGAATACATTGGTTTAGAAAATTAATATCTCCCAAACCAAAATTGGTATTGACTTGAATCCAATTCGCCATGAGTCCCTGTTGAGTCAAGATTGTAGAAAAATTGTCTTTGTAGCTTAACTCCTTCTGGTCTGGTCGTAATCCTCCAATAAGTAGATGTTGGTCTCCATCGGGTTCATTGGAAGTCTACTGACTTGTAGCTTGAATATCTTCATCATGTGGAAAGCTTTTGAACCAATTCCACTTCTACATGATTCCTTGATGAGTTAAGTTTCTGGTATAGGTGGATTTGTAGCTTAATTCCTCTTCCGGGCCGGCCCAATAGATTTTAATGCCTAAAGCAAAAAAAAAAAATTAAGCCCATTTAAAAAAAAAATCGCAAAATTTCATGCTTGAGAATCGAACCTGTGACCTCACAAGCTTACCGAACGGAATTAACCACTAGGCTAAGGTACATTTACGAAAATTGAATCCCTTTAATAATAGATATATTGTTTGATGCCTAAAGCAAGGGCTTTACTTGCTTTAGGTCAGGGCCGGCTCTGTTCCTCTTGGTTAGGTTGATATGCTTCTTGAAAGGAACATATGTATTTGGTACGCTTAGGTTGGTTCTCTCCAAGGGTTTTGGTCGTCTCATTGGTGTCTCATCCATGCTCCTTGGTTGGTGACAAGGGCAAGTCATGTTGAGTATGGTTCAAGAGGAACAATTTTGCCAACAAGGATCTCAAGGAAGTTTCCAAAGAAAAAACAAGTTGTTGTATTACTTATCCTGAAAGAAAAAACAAGTTGTTGTATTATTTTGACAGTAGGAAGTTTTTAAAACCAAGTCATGTTTTGGTAGCATACGCCGGAGAAATTGAAATCAAATCTTTGTTTATGTATGGTAAATTGGGTCTTTTATTTATGTACTTTGGTGGTATTTTGGTATAGCTGTAATTATTAGGTACAACTGAGGTTTAATTATTCGGTCCAATTGGGTAAATTGAGAAAAAAGAAAATAAAATAAAAATAAAAATTATTTAATGTCTACAATTCAAAATGTTTGAAAACCATCTAATGTGTGGTAAAGTGCACAGTTATGGGCCCGGCTAAAATACAATTTTATATTTGGCGGCTGGATATACTTATAGTTGTCCAGTTGTACTCTCATATTCATAGTTGGACTTTGACAATTTGTTTCATATTTACAGTTGGACTATAATATAAATTATTAATTAGTAGTTGGACACATAATTTGGGCATTTTCATATTACAGAACAATATATGTGGTCTCGCATAAGGACAAGATCGCTAAACCACCGGATTACACACTAAAAAGTGGAAAAAATCAAGGAACGTGGTTTCCATCAACCGGAGAAAAGCGCCGCAAGAGGACGAAGAACAAGGCTACGCTTGGGGATAAACTTGGAGAATTGGTTGCATATGAGAGAATTTAATTTGTGTGTTTTGGATTTGTATTTCTCGGATTTGTATGAATTATTCAACTAGTTCAACTTGGTTCAACTTATTAGATTAGATTAAGAACATGTATGTGTTTTTTCGTGCTACCTTTTAATTTAAATAGTTAAACTAGTTCAAATGTCTATTTTTGGTTTTTGTGGTAATATTTAATATAATTAGTTCAACCAGTTCAACTAAGTAACGCTAAAATGTTTAAAATTTGTTGATTTTTCATAATTGATAATTTATTATAAACGTAAAATTATATATTAAAATACCCGAAAATATAAACAAACTATTTCAGATCAATACAATAAAAATTTAATAATTTCTAAGAAAGATGTTGTTTTCACATAAAACACCCTTTCTACTATAAGGAATACTTAGTATATGATCCTCTTATATGAAGTAAAAAAGGTGAAAACTTGGTTTTTTTATAAAAATGTATAAACCATCTCGTTTTTTTTTTTTTTTTTTTTTTTTGCCTTAGGCCACCGAAACTCTAGGCACGGCCCTGTTAGCTCATAGCTGATGCAAGTGAAATATAAAGAAGAAGAGACATATAAACCTAGCTAGACCCCACTCATAGCCATTTGACCAAAGGAAAAACACCTATAGAAATCAAAGATCTAAAAAAGTTAAAATAGTTATTTAGAAAATGTAAATTTTATTATTTTAACTTCATAACTCTTACAGTTTAACTCCTATTCATGATCCGTTGGTAGCTGTGGAATCTTGGGTTGAAAGACCGACGTTAGCTCCGACTTTGACGAGCCTCCACACTGTTTTTATTTCTTTCTTCCTCTTTATTTTTCTTCTCTTCTCCACCTTTGCTCCTCCGCCACCACCGAAGCCTGCCACAGCCACGCCATGACCAATCAGATCTACCACCGGATTCCACCAACTTCGTGACGTCTCGATCTCTCTCCTCACCTCACGCTTCTTCTTATTCTTCTTCTTCTCCTTATCACAAATCCGAAGTCACCACGCGCAACAACACAACTCAACACAATCGATCGACAACAACACGACGACGAACACATCAATAATAGTGAAATATCAAAAAATACATGGTGGTGAGCTCCGACGTTGAAAGTTTGCTTGGGATTAGGGTTCATAAACTCTCTCCTCTTTGGCAAGGCGAAGACGGCGATATATGAGAATGCATGAACACATATAAGCAAAACAAAACCCTTTTGTCGTTTTAGTGTGTTAAATAATTCGGCTTAAATTGGCTTTGTCTTCTTTTAACAATACAGAATGGCCTAATTACCAATTATTGAATTGGGGATGTTACACGTTTCGCCAAATAGAAATCATATTGAAGTCTTCGATTTAAAAGTACAAAATTCGCTTCGGTTTGTTGTAAAAACAAAATTGCGGAATAGACCTGAAAATTCAGTTTCAGACGTTTTGGTTCTTATTAGGATTTTATAAAGAAGTATTTTCATCGTTTCATAATTGTATCAGCCAAATAATTAGGCCAACTATAAATATAAGACATAAACGAGAAATGCGAAAAAAAAAACATTCAAACCACACATCTTAAGTCGTTTAACATATGTGGCGGCGGTCAAAACGAGCTATCTGACATGGTTTTAAAGAGAATTTGAAGGTAAAACTAGGTAGAATTGGTGAAAAAACAGCAAAAAGTATAATTGATTTTGTATGAGAGGAGAGAAAAGAGAAACAAACGGATAAATGATTTTTCGTCATATGAGAAAAGAGAAACGAGTTAGACCTAGGTTTTCTTATCTTTATATGAACAACTGCGTTAAATCAATCTGTTTGAATTCGAGTTCTGGGTTTTGATGGAACCAATATCTGAATTTGTTTTATTCTTCTACATAACGGTTTATGTGTGTAAACTATAACAACACCAGATTTACCAAACATCAGTTTGGTCAATTCGGTTTGAAATTTCAGCTCAAACATAGCAAAAACTCTAAAAGAAAAATTAATTTCTCATCGCCTATGCTAAGTAAGTCAATTTATTTTACACTAATAAGTAGCACAAATATTATATCGTGTGCATAACTTTCAGCCTGTTATCTATGTTCAACACGGTAAAGCAAAACCATAGAAGAATATTAAATACGATAATTTTATTATAATTTTTACAAGAAATTATGAAGTCTTATTTAATGTCACTAATACTGCAACGACATTTAAATCTTGTACAACTACGAATATACTTACCCCTTCTAAAACAAGCTTTTCCGCAGTCATAACAAAAACCCATTACGCCTTGACGAAGAGAATGTCCAAGATGTATATCCACTAGAATTTGATCCATTGAAGGGCTCGCTGATGGATTGTCAAGAGATGTTCTCTCTTCTAAATTAGCTTTTTGAATAATTATTGATGTACCTATAAAATTTCCAAAATATATTTCAAATTATCAAATCAATATTGAAGAAACGACTATATATATATCTTACATAAGATCCTAATTAAATAGATTTAGACTTACATGAGGACAAAAGGACCAGAAAAGTTAAAAACAAAATAATTGTCTTCATTCTTTATGTATGATATAATAGTATCGAAGAAAAAATATATCAAAAGAATTATTGTGCAATGAAGTAGGTAACTACATAGTGTCATATTTATATATATTTTTATGAATTAATATGTTACGAAAGAATTATTGTTTTAATAAACGTTTTATTTTGTTATAAATGAAATTCAAGTAAACAATACTCCTTCCGTTTCGAATTACATGTCATTTAAGATTTTCTCATACAAATTAAGAAAACCATTAAACATTTTATTTTTTCCTTTATTAATATACTTTAGAAAATTTCCTGGTCAAAAACAATAAAGTTCTAGAGAGAAAACATGAAGTTTTTCCAAAAATCTGCATTGAAAATCTAAAACAACAACTATTATGAAACTAAATATAAATCCTAAAACGACAACTAAATTGAAACAGAGGGAGTAATGTTTTAAAATAATGGTTTCATTTCTAAATTATTATATTTTCAATACAACATTTATTATTTATAACTATACATTTAAGGATAATTCTTAGGTAAATGTCTTAAATTTTGGTTTATAAGATTTTTTTTTTAAAATATTTTTATTTAATTTACTAGGACTATAATATTATATCTAAGTTAAGAAATATATTTAAATTTTATTACTTGTGGTGATATTAAATATAACATCAAGGATGTAAGAGACCTACCCAGAGATTCGATGTAAAAGAATGTAGGATTAGTTCACATATAGTTATTGTTCTAGCAAATGTTAACTGCAAATGATGAAAATAACTGAAGCAAACAATAATAAAATGTCAATAACCAAAACGTTTTGTTAAATCAACAAAATAAATAAATCAATATAGAAAACCACATCAAAGCAAAAGTTTGAACTAGTTTTTATAAAAAACATATTTTATAATTTTAACGGCCATATTTTTATAACAGAAATGTGTAATTTTATATTAAAAACTATTGCAAAAAAGTATCATTGGCCAAATTGCTACGTTTTATAAAGTAAAATGTGGTTGCTTGTCTGAAACTATTTTGAAAACATTTATACTCGTCGTTTAGATGTCGTAAATTAGTTGCACATTTTCGAATCAATATACGTTGTGGTACCCTTAATCATTCTTTTGCTACCGAGTTGTGAAAGCTATCTTGTAGGTCTAATAAGGCCAAATATTATTTTTTATGGATGATCGAATAATGTGTGTTTTTTTAGCGTCTCAAATTGATATATAAATGAATATATGTATACATATATATATTAATATATTTTAAATAATTACTCTGCTTATTGATCCCTGTGTTATTTCTAGAATCACCTTGTCTCTAAATATTATTATTTCTAAGAACAAGAGAACACATTTGATTACATATTTAAATTTGATAAACGAAAAAAATATTATTATTTATTTGATAAAATCTTAATACTAAAAACTCATTTGAAGTATGTATAATTTTATGTTCCAATATATATCGTTGGCAACTCTATAAAATTAATACTAATTAACTTATTAAATATATTTTGAAGTAATTTCTGAGCCCGGGTAATCTGTTTAATTGGTCTGCTTTGTTTTGGAAATTTGGAAGTAATTTAGTTTGTTCGGTTTTGAAGACATTTCACCAAATAAAAATCTTATTGAAGTCTTCGATTTAAAAGTACAAAATTTGGTTCGGTTTGTTGTAAAAACGAAATTGCGGAATGGACACGAATATTCAGTTTCGCATGTTTTGTTCTTATTAGGATTTTATAAAGAAGTATTTTCATCATTTCATAATTGTATCAGCCAAATAATTAGGCCAACTATAAATATAAGACATAAATGAGAAATGCGAAAAAAAAAACATTCAAACCACACATCTTAAGTCGTTTAACATATGTGGCGGCGGTCAAAACGAGCTATCCGACATGGTTGTAAAGATAATTTGACGGTATAACTTGGTAGAATTGGTGAAAAAGACAACAAAGAGTATAATTGATTTTGTATGAGAGGAGAAAAAAGAGAAACAAACAGATAGATGATTTTTCGTCAGATGAAAAAAAAAGAAACGACTTAGACCTAGGTTTTATTATCTTTATATGAACAACTTCGTTAAATCAATCAGTTTGAATTCGAGTTCTGGGTTTTAATGGAACCAACATTTGAATTTGTTTTATTCTTCTACTTAACGGTTTATGTGTGTAAACTAAAACAAAACCACATTTACCAAACATCAGTTTGGTCAATTCAGTTTGAAATTTCGGCTCAAACCTAGCAAAAACTCTAGAAGAAAAATTAATTTATCTTCTCCTAAGCTAAGTAAGTCAATTTATTTTACACTAATAAGTAGCACAAATATCATGTCGTGTGCATAACTTTCAGCCTGTTATCTATGTTCAACACGGTAAAGCAAAACCATAGAAGAATATTAAATACGATAATTTTATTATAATTTTTACAAGAAAATTATGAAGCCTTATTTAATGTCACTAATACTGCAACGACATTTAAATCTTGTACAACTACGAATATACTTACCCCTTCTAAAACAAGCTTTTCCGCAGTCATAACAAAAACCCATTACGCCTTGACGAAGAGAATGTCCAAGATGTATATCCACTAGAATTTGATCCATTGAAGGGCTCGCTGATGGATTGTCAAGAGATGTTCTCTCTTCTAAATTAGCTTTTTGAATAATTATTGATGTACCTATAAAATTTCCAAAATATATTTCAAATTATCAAATCAATATTGAAGAAACGACTATATATATATCTTACATAAGATCCCAATTAAATAGATTTAGACTTACATGAGGACAAAAGGACCAGAAAAGTTAAAAACAAAATAATTGTCTTCATTCTTTATGTATGATATAATAGTATCGAAGAAAAAATATATCAAAAGAATTATTGTGCAATGAAGTAGGTAACTACATAGTGTCATATTTATATATATTTTTATGAATTAATATGTTACGAATGAATTATTGTTTTAATAAACGTTTTATTTTGTTATAAATGAAATTCAAGTAAACAATACTCCTTCCGTTTCGAATTACATGTCATTTAAGATTTTCTCATACAAATTAAGAAAACCATTAAACATTTTATTTTTTCCTTTATTAATATACTTTAAAAAAATTTCTGGTCAAAAATAATAAAGTTCTAGAGAGAAAACATGAAGTTTTTCCAAAAATCTGCATTGAAAATCTAAAACAACAACTATTATGAAACTAAATATAAATCCTAAAACGACAACTAAATTGAAACAGAGGGAGTAATGTTTTAAAATAATGGTTTCATTTCTAAATTATTATATTTTCAATACAACATTTATTATTTATAACTATACATTTAAGGATAATTCTTAGGTAAATGTCTTAAATTTTGGTTTATAAAATATTTTTTTATAAATATTTTTATTTAATTTACTAGGACTATAATATTATATCTAAGTTAAAAAATATATTTAAATTTTATTACTTGTGGTGATATTAAATATAACGTCAAGGATGTAAGAGACCTACCCAGAGATTCGATGTAAAAGAATGTAGGATTAGTTCAAATATAGTTATTGTTCTAGCAAATGTTAACTGCAAATGATGAAAATAACTGAAGCAAACAATATTAAAATGTCAATAACCAAAATGTTTCGTTAAATCAACAAAATAAATAAATCAATATAGAAAACCACATCATAGCAAAAGTTTGAACTAGTTTTTTATAAAAAAACATATTTTATAATTTTAATGGCCATATTTTTATAACAGAAATGTGTAATTTTATATTAAAAACTATTGCAAAAAAGTATCATTGGCCAAATTGCTACGTTTTATAAAGTAAAATGTGGTTGCTTGTCTGAAACTATTTTGAAAACATTTATACTCGTCGTTTAGATGTCGTAAATTAGTTGCACATTTTCGAATCAATATACGTTGTGGTACCCTTAATCATTCTTTTGCTACCGAGTTGTGAAAGCTATCTTGTAAGTCTAATAAGGCTAAATATTATTTTTTATGGATGATCAAATAATGTGTGTTTGTTTAGCGTCTCGAATTGATATATAAATGAATATATGTATACATATATATATTAATATATTTTAAATAATTACTCTGCTTATTGATCCCTGTGTTATTTCTAGAATCACCTTGTCTCAAAATATTTTTATTTCTAAGAACAAGAGAACACATTTGATTACATATTTAAATTTGATAAACGAAAAAAATATTATTATTTATTTGATAAAATCTTAATACTAAAAACTTATTTGAAGTATGTATAATTTTATGTTCCAATATATATCGTTGGCAACTCTATAAAATTAATAATAATTAACTTATTAAATATATTTTGAAGTAATTTCTGAGACCGGGTAATCTGTTTAATTGGTCTGCTTTGTTTTGGAAATTTGGAAGTAATTTAGTGTGTTCAGTTTTTAAGACATTTCACCAAATAAAAATCATATTGAAGTCTTCGATTTAAAAGTACAAAATTTGGTTCGGTTTGTTGTAAAAATGAAATTGCGGAATGGACACGAATATTCAGTTTCGCACGTTTTGTTCTTATTAGGATTTTATAAATAAGTATTTTCATCGTTTCATAATTGTATCAGCCAAATAATTAGGCCAACTATAAATATAAGACACAAATGAGAAATGCGAAAAAAAAACATTCAAACCACATATCTTAAGTCGTTTAACATATGTGGCGGCGGTCAAAACGAGCTATCCGACATGGTTGTAAAGATAATTTGACGGTATAACTTGGTAGAATTGGTGAAAAAGACAACAAAGAGTATAATTGATTTTGTATGAGAGGAGAAAAAAGAGAAACAAACAGATAGATGATTTTTCGTCAGATGAAAAAAAAAAGAAACGACTTAGACCTAGGTTTTATTATCTTTATATGTACAACTTCGTTAAATCAATCAGTTTGAATTCGAGTTCTGGGTTTTAATGGAACCAACATTTGAATTTGTTTTATTCTTCTACTTAACTGTTTATGTGTGTAAACTAAAACAAAACCACATTTACCAAACATCAGTTTGGTCAATTCAGTTTGAAATTTCGGCTCAAACCTAGCAAAAACTCTAGAAGAAAAATTAATTTCTCTTCTCCTAAGCTAAGTAAGTCAATTTATTTTACACTAATAAGTAGCACAAATATCATGTCGTGTGCATAACTTTCACCCTGTTATCTATGTTCAACAAGGTAAAGCAAAACCATAGAAGAATATTAAATACGATAATTTTATTATAATTTTTACAAGAAAATTATGAAGTCTTATTTAATGTCACTAATACTGCAACGACATTTAAATCTTGTACAACTACGAATATACTTACCCCTTCTAAAACAAGCTTTTCCGCAGTCATAACAAAAACCCATTACGCCTTGACGAAGAGACTGTCCAAGATGTATATCCACTAGAATTTGATCCATTGAAGGGCTCGCTGATGGATTGTCAAGAGATGTTCTCTCTTCTAAATTAGCTTTTTGAATAATTATTGATGTACCTATAAAATTTCCAAAATATATTTCAAATTATCAAATCAATATTGAAGAAACGACCATATATATATCTTACATAAGATCCCAATTAAATAGATTTAGACTTACATGAGGACAAAAGGACCAGAAAAGTTAAAAACAAAATAATTGTCTTCATTCTTTATGTATGATATAATAGTATCGAAGAAAAAATATATCAAAAGAATTATTGTGCAATGAAGTAGGTAACTACATAGTGTCATATTTATATATATTTTTATGAATTAATATGTTACGAATGAATTATTGTTTTAATAAACGTTTTATTTTGTTATAAATGAAATTCAAGTAAACAATACTCCTTCCGTTTCGAATTACATGTCATTTAAGATTTTCTCATACAAATTAAGAAAACCATTAAACATTTTATTTTTTCCTTTATTAATATACTTTAAAAAAATTTCTGGTCAAAAATAATAAAGTTCTAGAGAGAAAACATGAAGTTTTTCCAAAAATCTGCATTGAAAATCTAAAACAACAACTATTATGAAACTAAATATAAATCCTAAAACGACAACTAAATTGAAACAGAGGGAGTAATGTTTTAAAATAATGGTTTCATTTCTAAATTATTATATTTTCAATACAACATTTATTATTTATAACTATACATTTAAGGATAATTCTTAGGTAAATGTCTTAAATTTTGGTTTATAAGATTTTTTTTTTAAATATTTTTATTTAATTTACTAGGACTATAATATTATATCTAAGTTAAGAAATATATTTAAATTTTATTACTTGTGGTGATATTAAATATAATGTCAAGGATGTAAGAGACATACCCAGAGATTCGATGTAAAAGAATGTAGGATTAGTTCACATATAGTTATTGTTCTAGCAAATGTTAACTGCAAATGATGAAAATAACTGAAGCAAACAATATTAAAATGTCAATAACCAAAACGTTTCGTTAAATCAACAAAATAAATAAATCAATATAGAAAACCACATCATAGCAAAAGTTTGAACTAGTTTTTATAAAAAAAATATTTTATAATTTTAACGGCCATATTTTTATAACAGAAATGTGTAATTTTATATTAAAAACTATTGCAAAAAAGTATCATTGGCCAAATTGCTACGTTTTATAAAGTAAAATGTGGTTGCTTGTCTGAAACTATTTTGAAAACATTTATACTCGTCGTTTAGATGTCGTATATTAGTTGCACATTTTCGAATCAATATACGTTGTGGTACCCTTAATCATTCTTTTGCTACCGAGTTGTGAAAGCTATCTTGTAAGTCTAATAAGGGCAAATATTATTTTTTATGGATGATCGAATAATGTGTGTTTTTTTAGCGTCTCGAATTGATATATAAATGAATATATGTATACATATATATATTAATATATTTTAAATAATTACTCTGCTTATTGATCCCTATGTTATTTCTAGAATCACCTTGTCTCTAAATATTATTATTTCTAAGAACAAGAGAACACATTTGATTACATATTTAAATTTGATAAACGAAAGAAATATTATTATTTATTTGATAAAATCTTAATACTAAAAACTTATTTGAAGTATGTATAATTTTATGTTCCAATATATATCGTTGGCAACTCTATAAAATTAATAATAATTAACTTATTAAATATATTTTGAAGTAATTTCTGAGACCGGGTAATCTGTTTAATTGGTCTGCTTTGTTTTGGAAATTTGGAAGTAATTTAGTTTGTTCGGTTTTGAAGACATTTCACCAAATAAAAATCATATTGAAGTCTTCGATTTAAAAGTACAAAATTTGGTTCGGTTTGTTGTAAAAATGAAATTGCGGAATGGACACGAATATTCAGTTTCGCACGTTTTGTTCTTATTAGGATTTTATAAATAAGTATTTTCATCGTTTCATAATTGTATCAGCCAAATAATTAGGCCAACTATAAATATAAGACACAAATGAGAAATGCGAAAAAAAAACATTCAAACCACATATCTTAAGTCGTTTAACATATGTGGCGGCGGTCAAAACGAGCTATCCGACATGGTTGTAAAGATAATTTGACGGTATAACTTGGTAGAATTGGTGAAAAAGACAACAAAGAGTATAATTGATTTTGTATGAGATGAGAAAAAAGAGAAACAAACAGATAGATGATTTTTCGTCAGATGAAAAAAAAAAGAAACGACTTAGACCTAGGTTTTATTATCTTTATATGAACAACTTCGTTAAAT